AAAGATTTGACTACCATTTACATCGAACAAAAACAATGATACTTATGATCGTTAAGCGTCTTTCTTCGTAAAAAATAAATCTCGTTTCCTATTTATTGACACCGATAAGCATTTTATTCTATGACCAATACATATTTTCTAAATGTACATGACACTAATTAATCGTGAGTGATAAGCATCTACTTTCGCGCGTTCTCTGCTTCAGGGTGTAATAATACACGGCTGATGCAATACACATGACGTAATACACTAATTGATTACGCAATGCTGCTGATTTTCTGCTCGAAACAAAACTGTATTCTCTCCATTAACATCTACTTATGTTGTGCTAGGCGAACGCGGTCGTTTACCGTTATAAGTTAATTATAATGTTACTAGACTTGTAAAATATTGGTGTAAATTGCTGCCAATGCAGAATCATATATATCCTAAAAACTGCTATCTGATGCACAAAGATGTACATGTGGTAGGATGACGTTTAAGGGCATCAAAATCGAGAAACTATTTTTAACTTTGGTTTTTTTGGTTCGCATCGATGTCTCAAACTTAGGATGAATCACTAACCTTATGAAAAATGCTAAATTAAAACAGTGAGTATCTGATTTATTTACACAGAACATAATCGCAATAATAATTCTTCTATATGTTAACAAGACATATCGTAAAAAGTTCATACAAGGAAAAACCGCGTTTAATGAACAAACCCCCCCCCCCCTAACAAACAAGACAGGGTCCGAGGGAAAAAACTAACACGCCTATCATTACAGCGAAACTAAATAAGAAACAACAATAACTTGACAATGATATTAAAGAAATAAAGAAATGATTGAAAAATAGGCCAACAAAGTTAAGGGCACATGACAATGGGGGGGGGCAAAATAAAACAAGGAGCAAAAGGGAAGATACTTATCGTAGACAAGAAAACAAACAACGAACACAAACAAGTGTCACCAAAACAGTATGAAACAACAAATATATACTGTACATTGAGAAACACAGAGGGGTGTCGCCTTGGAACGTGCAGCAGCATTTGTACTTCTGGGGAGTTTTAACCGGTTTATGGTGCACCAAACCTCACTCTTAGCCCCACCATGTTCCTTTAAACGAAACATTGAAAATAAAATGAAACCCCGTTAAAATGTGGAAACAAGGTGATGCCTTTGAATCATTTATCACAAAATTACATGAAAAAGGTAAAATAAGTAAAAAACAGAAATTATTATATAGATACATGCAAAAATAAATCAAAAAAAAGATAAAACGAAAAAAAACTCGAAATTTCCCGAAAAAGGAAAAACCCGAGCACAAAGAAATCAAACCTTTAAAAGGGCCCCACGAAAACAAAAAGAAAACAAAAAAATTAAGAAAGTTTTAAAACCCCCAAAAGGGGTTTAAAAAAATTTTTCCCTAAAAGAGTATCCCACTTTTGGGCCCCTTTGCTGTAATCCCAAAAGGGGGAAAAACATAGTGCCAACTTTTAAAAAAGTTGAACACTTACATGCAATGTCATAAAATAATAGGGGGCATTTAAACCCCTTTTTAAAAAGAAAGAAATGTTTTTAAGGGAAAACAAAAAAAAAATTTACAATGACTCAAAATATAACGAAGTTTATAAAATCAAATCGCCATAAAGATCTGGCTGGCTAATCCCTTGTCGCAGAGGTGTTTTTAAATCACTTGTGAACTTGAAATTAAATCTTAAATACGATTGTAAAATTTTGTAAAATATTTTTCTTAATTAATAATAGAGATGCCTTGCTTAAGAAGCTTGCTAGTAATGGAAATATTCCGCTCGTTAAAATCCTTTACGTTGCTACAAGCTCTAGTGAATCTAAAAAACTGAGAAACATATACCCCGTCAGATGTTGCATTGGGGTACGTCTCCGTCTACGTAAATGAGGATAACTATCTATAAAATATCAAAGTCATCTCTCTTATCATATATTTTCGTGTGAATAGAACTGTTGTTGACAGTAATATGAAGACCCAAAAACAATATAAGATCCTTAACTTTAAATCAAAGTCGGATTTCAAAGTTTAAATTGCAAGGGCTACTGTTTATTCGGTTTAGATACATTAGCCTCAAGGAAAGGATCTAGAGTCTGTGTTTACAACGACCTTTCAACATTAACCGAAACGTTACAATTAAAATTACAAATAAATCAGTAAATTGCACAAACATGTATATGGACAGTTGTACTTAAATACTAGAGACATGTAATGTAAAATGTTGTTCTGCCAATCAAGGTAGTTTTAATCACATGCCGATGTATGACATGCATGATGTATGATACTATGATTATCTATATTTCTAATGTTGTACACATATTTCCTATGTTGGTGAAGTGTTTCATGTAATGGTATTCATTTGTTCCATGGTATGTTGTTCAATTGTTTCATGGCCATCATAAAACTAAAAAAAATGTGTTTTATTTCTTTATGTAGTAGGCAAAGTTTCTATAAAAAAAGTGGCCTATTCGTTTCCGAACACTTTGGCCCCTAAAAGGGTTCCCCAATAATTTATAAGCTGTTTCATAACAGTTTTCGAATATTGGGCCAGTTGCCCCTTTAAATACCCGGGAAGTAACTTAAAAAAATAAACCAAATTTTTAACATATTAGAATTTGTTGCCATTTAGCCATTATTAAAAATTTTACAGAAACTAACATAAGGTATTACTAAATAAATTGTAAAAATTTGAAAGATAAACAATTTGACGGTTTTTAACTGTTGATTAGTTAAAAAGGGGGAATAAGAAAACATGTCCTAAACCTATATGGTTTTAAAAAATTGTTTAGTAGGGTTTTATTTTTAGGTCATTAAAAAGGAACATTTGAATTTAGAGCCGTAACAGTAAAAAAAGCAGAGGCTTTCGTATAACTCATTCCAAGGGGTGGTTAAGGTACTACTTTAAGGGGGGTGTTAATTTAAATTTTCCACATTTTATTTTAAATTTTGTAGTGAATTTTTTTACAGTAAGGTTACGGTAATTTTTTTCGATAATTCAAATGAATAAAATTTTTGAAAAAGATTTTAAAACCTTTTTCAAATTTTTCATTCGGGGATAAAATAATATAAAAAAGGGGGTTTTACTTGCCAAAAGGAAAAAATTTTTAAAAATTTTCGAAAATTTGGAACTTATATTAAAACCCTTTTTTGACTTTGACAGAAAAAAGAGAGGATAAGGTTTTTTTTTTTAAAATGAAAAAAGCTATTTAGTCCCGAATTAAGGCCCCCCCTTTAAAAACCCCCCTTTATCTTAAAAAAATCAAGGGAAATTTATGGGATTTGGAAACCTAACTAATGAATTGGGAAGCGGGGAAAAAACTGGTTTTTCCCGGGAGAACTTTGATTTTCCCAGTAAATTATTCCTAATGAAAGGCAGAGTTTACATGTACTCGGATAACGGATTTATTCATTTTTTATGTCGTACAAGCAGGGATGAAAATTAAGATAATGACTTAAGAAAGTAATATCTCTAAATATACCTTATCAAAATTGAACTACATACAGTAGTAGCATTTGGTGTATAGTACTGAGAATCGACCGTATGAGCCGGAGATGAGTCGGGTTTGTTCAGATTCCCAAATAATATATATTCAACTTCACTATTTTAATGTTTGAGATTGATGACTTTTCGGACGCATTGGTGGGACAATATTCGTGCTTTGCGACAACCTTCTGGTGGAACAAGCGGAACACACGTTTGAGTATAGGATTGCAGAAGATTGTAAACGTCAGTAAGTTTAAAAACATTAGCAACACAACAAATGATTTAATGTATTACAAATTGAAAAAAAAATATATAAATGCAAATTTATAAAAGAAAAGATAAACAGTAGTTTTATAAGCAACCAGCAACAAATGTGATCTTAAATTTACAATAGAATTTTCCAATTGCAAAGACACTATCAAAGTGTATAAAAACATATTTGCGTGTTAAAAGAGACAGAAAACTAATGTTTGTGAAATTAGCATCTTTATTTTTATATACCTTATAAAAGTATGTTAATGGTTAGCAGTGTAATTAAATCTAACTGGCCGACTGGGTGTGGAATAATATACAGTTATTTCATATGTGATTTGGGAACAGTCAAACTGTTGGCCCGAGGTGGAGTGGGGTAGTGTTTTAGAACTGCTTGCCTAAAAAAAGTTAAGGCCGTAGGCCCGAGCTGTCAACGTATCAAAACCACATCCACACGCTCGGTGAACACTGTCTATGCTCACTTGTTCCCCAAATCACGCTATGAAATAAGGTGTACCCTTTCTTACCTTGATCAACTACTGTTTTAACGTATGCAGACAAAAAAAGAAAACAAAGGAAAATGGGTTTTTTGCACATATAGTTATATAAATAAAACTTAATATATTTAATACTATGTCACACCACGTCTGGGGGTTTCTTGATCAAGGATCGATGGTGAGACGCCACTGGGACCTCTATGAGGACGTCAATGACGTCAGAGCACAGATGCGGGAAACAGTTCGAAACTATGTGAGCCTCTGTCAACAGTTTCGCGAAACGTTGACGTTTTAAGAATTTCAGAAAACAGTAAATAATAACAAATTACAATTATATAAGGTTTCAGGTAATAATACATTTTATCGAATCGCTAAAATCTTATATTTCATAACCGGAAGATAATGTTTAAAACGCACCTTTAGGCAGGTTTTAGGGATGAATGCGGTAGCACTTTCCACTATTGTCTACATACATACTCCGTCAAACTGAGCCTGCTGCAATTGTAGCTTTGCCGTTTTGGGCGTTCGTTACGGTTTCTTTTTCCCTTTTATGTGACTGTTAAAAGTTTCATTCAATATGATTTCAATTATGGTCTCTTTTCTTATAGATTCCTAGTAGTGGTTTTATATGATAGATAATACACTGTACTTATCCCCCACTCTAATACATCATCTTTTTGACTATTTGTGATGTTTATAAGTTATGATAGTCAAATTTAATAATTTTTGGTTGTTTGCTTGTTTTTGACATTGTTTGGCATATTCAAATTGAACAGGAATATTCCCTGGACCTCAGTCAGAGAGCAAAAAGATAAACGAAATGGCTTTACTTATATGCCGCGTGGACCACCGGGCCAAAAAAGTTCGATGGAAGAAAGATGGAGTTTACATTGATTATGACAAGGATGATAGAATTAAGGTATGTTTACATTTTACCTCTTTAATAAATTTAGTACGTATTTCCATACGTGGGCAAACAAGAATCATGTAATAATCTACTATGTTTTCGAATTGTTTAGTTCAATCTTTAATAGATTGTAAGAAATACGAAATGAGTAAAAATTTAAATTGCAATTTTGTATAAAATTAAATAGCAAATATGTTAATCTTGACATGTCATTAATTGGAAATCGTCACTTGTATTTAACAGACAGACACTTTTTTTGCGATAAACATTACAGTTTTTTTGCCATCTATTTTAAATACATATAAATCAACATATATTTGTGAAGTGATCAAATAAAATTCTAACAATAATTGAAATTTTTATCACAAAAATAAAGAAAGATGTTGTAAGGAGGGTTAATCGGCAACTCACATTTTCTAGTTAAAAAGACAAGTTTGCAATTTTAAGACTTTCTTCACTTAAATGCGTTATATGTAAATTTTGCAAGATTTACAACAGTAACACAATTATCACAATTCAAAAGCTCTATAAACTTCATTACACTTGACCTTTTATACCATGACAAAATGATATTCGTATTCAATATCGCTATTGCTACAAATTAAACAATATCGCACATTTCTTTCTACTCTATTCCTAGCGTATCGATCGGTTTCAATGGCTAACTTGTGCGATGATAGTCTAAACTTAGACAGAACGCTTGTAAATTTACATGGCGATATCTCTAAATATTTTTCAAACCCTCATAAAGTGTTTTAATGTTTGTATATATCCAATGTTCCGCATCTCTGTAGCAGTTGATGCCAGTTTTAAAAGTATCTATTTCTGTTTCTTTAAAAAAACAAGATTGATATTGATTGATATGCCCAAAATTGAGAGAATCTTTAACGCGACAAATAGCTTATGTATAATAGGGCCTCATTTTCTAAAAATAATAATTTTCGTCTTCAAAGTTTTCACTTCTAGACCTTAAAATAGTTCAATGAAATCAATAAGTAGTGAGAACATCAAAGGGGACATAACTCCCCTTATTTTAGGCATACATCCCATTCGATGGATTCCGAATATGAATTACACAATTTTTAACACAACTTACATATGTGAATACATATTCTTTACTATTTATAAAAGCTTTTTATCAATGCTTAATTAATACAATTTCAGCCATAGGCCATTTAGCTAGAATCTAAAAAATGCTCTTTTCATATCAACAATACAGCAATACAAACGATTATTCTAGCTTAAAACTTTGTGTAAAATATCATTTAAAACAAATACAGCATCAATTTTTGAACGACCCGTGCGTAAGCCGAATTGCGCTACAAGTTTCTGACCAATCGCTTAGCCGCTTATTCAATATTCCTGTAAAAATGTTAAATTACAAGTGTTAATGTAAAGCACGTCACACGAGTCCACATGACCATTCAACTTGAAAATATCATGAATTAATATCAAACATATGAGAGGAGAGTATATCATAGCATTCTATAAGATATTTTTTTATTCTTACACGACCCGCATTTTTCCCTATTAACATAGAAGAAACGAAAGTGTGTATTATTATGCTATAAAATCACTGTTTGACGTTCTTTATTTAGATATGTAACGTAATCGTTATACACGTGACGTAACCACTAAAAATGTGACACGCTGAAAATAAGTACGGACACAAATCAGGCGCAGTTTATCTAATTATCATGTACGGCAGCATTTATTTGTTGCTGTCGTGTTAAAATCGAAATAATATATCCAAATCGGTGATTTTATTGCTTGATAACATCACTGTTTGTCGTTCGGATGCGCATCATTATATCACTCGGGCTACGCTTTCGTGATATTATTCCCCGCATCCGAACTCCAAACAGTGATGTTATTGAACAATAAAATCACAGTTTGGGATATATTATTTCTTAATCAAACGATCCATGCCACACGCTTTATTCTTCTTCAGCAGAAGTAATTGTCTTATCTAGCTCATCAACACTGTCTGTTCCACAATGCTTACACATGGGTTTATGTGGATATTGTAGTTGAAGTTGTAAACTTTCTTTGAAGGCATTTATTTTCATTCATCAACTTTAATGTGTCTAAAAGTACCATGGGATAGCCACTTTAAATCCAAAAGTGTGAATGTCAGTTTCTCTCCTCCCAACGTAAGATATTTCAAGTACATGCACTTATGAATAACATACATAATTGACACATCTATTTATGCAATTTAAACATCTGACTAGTGGAATAATAACAACTATTGCGTTCCCTATATTTTGTAATGCTGTATCACCATTTAATTAAAAGAAGAGGGATATTTTATATGATTGTCTTAACAGTACCGTACACCGGATAAAATCGTGTTTTTAGTAAAAACAAATCGGAGAAAATTACCAGGGCAAAGAAAGTTTTCGATTTTTCAGCTGATATGACCACTTATTTGACCTGGGTTTGATTTTTATCTTTCCCTCAATACACGCTTGATTTGAAAATAACATCAGATATCAAGAAAAAATCAAAATTTTATGTTACTTTTCGTAATAAAAGTCTATGTTTCTTACAGAAGAAACTATTTCCCCAAGTATAAATAATCAAGTTTCATTTTTAGTTTCAACAAATCGGCAGTTTTTTTTAACCTCTCGTCAAGAACTGACACTTTTTTAAAAGGTTTTTAAAATCAATACACTTCTGCAATGATAAATATGCACATGCCTAGTGTACTGGATATAGTAAATGCAATGTACTGTGAATGTGCTGTACAGGTATAAAAAACAAAGTTATAAAAAAAATGAGTCGGTTTCTGATATTAAGCTTGATATCATTTAAAAAAGAATAATTGTTTTACGTATTATATACTTTGTAAGTGACTTGATGAAATTTAATAAGTAAATTTTTAATATTAACTGGATAATAATTTTCACCAGACACCACTATTTTCATGTTTCCGGAGGGTGGCATATTAAAATCGAACCGTCCGTCTGTCTTTCTGTCTCAGTCCGTCCGTCCCGTTTTATACATATAGACAGTGGTGGTCGTGTCAGCTCTGAAACTTTAGTATGCATGAAAGGATGTTAATTTTTCTTTTATAATCATATGAAATAATGAAAGATGTATGGTGTGTCGCAAACAAGACTCAGGTTCTACATATAGCTAGGACTAAGGTCAAAGTCACTGTTGGGGTTCAAACTTTGTCATTTTTTATGTTATATAAATATAAAAGGTGGTGGTCGTGTCCACTCTGAAACTTCAGTATGCATGGAAATTGTAGTTTTTCTTTCATATATGAAATAACAATAGATGTATGGTGTGCGCAGACTAGACTCGGGTTTCTGCCACATAGGTCAGGGTCACTGTTCGGGTTCAAACTTTTCCATATTTTACTCTATATAAAAAATAGATGGTGGTGGTCATGTCCCCTCTGAATCTTCAGTATGCATGAAAAGATTTTAATTTTTCTTTCATACATGAAATAACCATAGATGTATGGTGTGTCGCAAACAAGACTCGGGTTTCTGCCACAAAGGTCAGGGTAACTGTAGAGGTTCAAACTTTGTCATTTTTTTATATTTTATAATATAGATGGTGGTGGTCGTGTCCGCTCTGAAACTTCAGTATGCATTTCTCTTTCATATATGAAATGACCATAGATGTATGGTGTGTGGCAAACAAGACTCGGAATTCCTTCAACTAAGGTCAAGGTCACTGTGGGAGTTCAAACTTTGTCATTGTATGTTATATAAATATAGAAGGTGGTGGTTATGTTCGCTCTGAAACTTCATTTTTTATGAAAGTATTTAAATTGCTTTTCATATATGAAATTATATGAAATAAGCATAGATGTATGCTGTTTCGCGAAGAAGACCTCGGTTTCTTTGACTAAGGTTAAGGTCACTTTGGGTCTTCAAAACTTTGTCATTGTAAATTTTTATATTATATAAATATAGAAGGTGATGGTAATGTCCGTTCTGAAACTTGGGTATGCATGAAAGGATTTTAATTTTACTTTCACATATGAATTAACCATAGATGCATGGTGTTTCGCAAACAATACTCGGGGTTTCTACGACTAAGGTCAAGGTCACTGTGGAGTTCCAACTTTGTCAATTTTGATGTTAATAAACACATAGACAGGGATGGTCGTGTCTGCTCTGAAACTGATAATCATGCATGAAAGGATTACATGTATATTTTTTGTTTCACATGTGAAACTATCATTAATGTATGATGTGTTGCCCTTAATACCCGTGTTCCTACGCCTGAGTTCAATGTCACTACTGGGTTTTAAACTTCTTCAATATTTATGTTATATACAAATAAATGGTGGTTGTTGTGCCCGCTCTGTAACTTCCATATATATGAAAGTTTATTTTTTTATTTAAAAATATAAAATCACCATAGATAATGTGTTGTGAACAAGACCAAGGTTTCTTTGTCTAACTTATAGGTCACTGCTAGGGTCCGAACATTGTCAATTTTTACAACCACACTTAGCATGTTATATGTGGTTTATAACCAGAATCCTTCGGGGACATTTGTCACGTTCTTTGATAACTCTTGTTCATATTACTTTTAAATAAATGACCTCGGTTTCTTTGACTAAGGTTAAGGTCACTTTGGGTCTTCAAAACTTTGTCATTGTAATTTTTTATATGATATAAATATAGAAGGTGATGGAAATGTCCGTTCTGAAACTTGGGTATGCATGAAAGAATTTTAATTTTACTTTCACATATGAATTTACCATAGATGCATGGTGTTTCGCAAACAATGCTCGGGGTTTCTACGACTAAGGTCAAGGTCACTGTGGAGTTCAAACTTTGTCAATTTTGATGTTAATTTACATATAGACAGAGATGGTCGTGTCTGCTCTGAAACTGATAATCATGCATGAAAGGATTATATTTCTTGTTTCACATGTGAAACTATCGTTAATGTATGATGTGTTGCCCTTAAGACCCGTGTTCCTACGCCTTAGTTCAATGTCACTACTGGGGTTTAAACTTCTTTAATATTTATGTTATATACAAATAGATGGTGGTTGTTGTTCCCGCTCTGTAACTTCAATATACATGAAAGTTTAAATTTTTTATTTAAAAATATAAAGTCACCATAGATGGACAATGTGTTGTGAACAAGACCCAGGTTTCTTTGTCTATTTTAAAGGTTACTGCTAGGGTCCGAACTTTGTCATTTTTTACAACCACACTTAACATGTTATAGGTCGTTTAAAAATAGAATCCTTCTGGAACATTTGTCACGTTCTGTGACAACTCTTGTTCATATTACTTTTGCATAAATTCTATACTTATAAATTCACACAAGTTTTTAATGACCACCAAGAGAATCAGCAGAAAGTGTTACTGTTAATAAGTGGTCTGTTTTCAAGCTTAATTTAACCTTCATAACAGCACATTAGATAAAACATTTGTATTCATTGTGTGACACCAAGAGCAAATGTGTGGTATTTTTCTTGACTACCCTATGATTTTTTATTTCCCTCCAAAATGCGGACAGTTTGTTATAATGTATTCACAAAACTAATGGTTCATTATTCTTTTGGTCAAAACTAAAAATTTATCTTTGACAGAAAATGGCTAATAACTACTTACGTATCTTAAACGTTGGAATGGAGGACGCGGGTGTTTACCAGTGCGAGGCCGAAGACGAAAACGGTTGCTATAGTTATAAGGAAGGCAAACTATGGGTGGTAGACGTAAAGTCTTTCAGTTCATGTACGTGTTTTCATTTCCAATTTCTAAAGTTTTAAATAATTATAGAATAGATTCATATTGTTCCATCTGTTAAGGTTTCTTTCAGAACATTATTACATGTGTTGATTTTCTTAATACAATTGATTCGAAATATGAAAAACACGACCCGGCAACACAGAACTACCGACGTGAGGCCCAGTAGTATACCAAACAAAAACAGGACAGGGAACAGGGTATTAATTTAAATAAAATTCAGAATAGGAAACCAACAAGGTACTTAAAGATACACCTACTAAAGGGAAATGGTGAAGGGAAAATAACTTGAGGAAGATAGGTGGGGGAGGGGCAAAATGAACAGGCTCAATCAAACCAAGCATTTCAATTTTGCCGTTTTGAAATTTTCTTTTGGGATTCTATTTCTCTCTACGCAAGTCGGACATTTAGACCTGTTGATTTATACTAAGTTGAATTCTAGACCCCTTGACTCTTAGACCCATTTTAAATGGCTTTTCGACCCCTAGTGGTAAATACCCATATACCAATTTTTAAACTTTAAAAGGCCAGTAAGATTTTTCGAGAAATTATTTAAGGCAGATAGCAAATATTTCAACTGTTTTCATTACAAGATACGACAAAATTACGAAGAAGGGAAAAACACATTATATTAACAATTAATGTTACATAGTAGTAAAAATATACATCATATAATTATATATATTTTTTCAAAAACTGGAACATAATTTTTATTAGTGAAGGAATTATAATATTAAGCGTGATTTGTACATTGCGTGTTTATTCATAATACGTATCTCCTTTTTTATAAAATTTTAAAAATTTAGATTATGTTTTCCCTTAGAAACACATGTTTGTTATATTGGCGATTAATACATACATACATACATGTCTACTTAATTAATGTCATATATTGAATTAACTTGTCTGTAGTTCGATGTTGCGATTATCTCGTTTTACACTATGAAAATGAAACCATAGTACCAATATCGATCAATACATATCGATCAATAATTAATTGGCTGAGATTTGTTCATGTTTTCGAGTTTTCGACTTAAAGTTTTTCGAGAATAACATTTAACAACAACAATGTAAATTTGTATATTTAGATATGTAGTATTGCAGTTATGTGCACTGATAAAATCAATTTAGTAGTCTCATCTACTTCTTCTATTGTAATTTTAACATAAAAAGTGAAATCAATTTTCAAAATCTTTTTTTTTAATTGTTTACATCTCGTATTTCATATACGCATTTTTTCGCTCATAATTGAAATGTAGTATTGCCTCATAAGGCTTCGAGACAACAAACGTAATTATGACCAGATTTTCATTTATACTTATTTTTAATATTTTAAAGTCAACATGTGTTCCTGTTCATCTATTTGTCTAAATCGTGATGTGAATACGCAAGTCGCGTGTCGTTGATGATTAAATTAAACACTCTGTCAATTATAAATTGTTGTTGTACTAAATAAACAGTTGCTGTATTTCATTATTAACGGGGTAGGTTAAATTACTTAATTATGGCGCATTTCGTTTAGTCATTTTATTACCTTGTACAAATATTTATATTAACATTCACATAAGTTATAGATATATGTCCTACTCATGAAAGAATATTCTTTTTTCTTAATAAAGACAGTTCATTTCAAATAACAATCAATTATAATTACTTATATAAGTTATTTGAAATCTGTATTTGAATGTTGCTGCTCTTGCCGACACTCTGTAACGCGGTAAATATTGCTTTGTCTTTATTACATCATAACAGTGTTACTTTAAAAATGGTATATTGTGCACACAGATATAATGTAAGAATTTCGTTTTCTGATAGACATCAAACTGTATGATTTGTTTCATGAATAACAATACACGCTCATTAAATAAAGTATTCAAAGAACCAAAATGTCTGAAATTTCGCGATGTTAGAAGTTCGGTAGAAGAAAACTAATAAATGTACAATGACAAAAATGACAGTATTTTTTTACAAAAATGTGTATAACAAAACGACTAATAGAAATGTATTTAAACAAGAGGGCCATGATGGCCCTGAGTCGCTCACCAGAAACAACTGTTTTTCAGTGTTATTTTTCAAAGAACTTGATGAAAGACCAGTCCAGCTCAACTTTTACTTGCCCTTCTAATTATTGAAATATTTTGCTCTAATATTTAGGAGGCTTTATTAAAATATCTATGTTGCAAGTGTGTTCCCATGAGATTATGTAGAATAAAATAATGCAGAATAAACAGGTCTAAGATTTTATGATATTTACGGACAGTCTGTAAATTTTTGTACGAGCCATAATTTTACAGATTTTTGTATCTGTAAATTTACAGACATTAAGTAAGAATATAGTAGAAGTTGCATTAAAATTCAAAACCACAGGTTAAAATTAATAAGGTTACATACTATATGATTAAATGTAACAGTATGGTAAGATTCAAAACAATATGATGACTTTCAATTTACACTTTTATTAAATATTTCAAAATCATCATACAAAGATGAAACTCACCACATTACGTTTGTAAATATAAACAATCAATAAAAACACTAATCAGAAGCTACGGATTTTAGTGTAAAACTTAAAACAGAAATTTTCACATTGAATAAAGATTTGTAAATATATGGAAAGAAAAATCTTTAAATTTGTAGACTATCCATTAATTTGCGGACAGTCCATATCATCATGAAATCCTAGACCTGATAAATGACCACTACATCAGGGTTAATTTTGATGGAACATTTTTTCTTTATAACTTTTGTGAATGAATACACAAAACGTCACATGCAAAATGTGTTAGGTTTTACAGTATGGGACAACAAACTTTTTATTTGAGGGCAAATTTGTGCCCAATCGGTAAAATTATGGAGCTATGGTAGACAATACAAACAATCGAGTTACCTTACACGTCTGGATCGTAGCCAAACTAGGAATTGCCTACTTCTTCTAGTTATAAATTACACTAACATGGCGCCATACTGTCAAGCCTAGCACACTAGTTCCGAACTTCCGTCAACTCCCGTAACCAGTTCCATACGGAACTACAAAACTCTAAAGTTTGTGCATCCCGATGAGAATGGATTGTCTTTATTTTCAGTTATACAAACTGTGTAAGTCATTTTATTACCACCATACCGCAACCAGAAATTGCTTTCAGAAAAACTCGCTTTGGAGCATAATTTATCTTTTTGCTTAGATTTCTCAGTTGTTTCAGCATTCACCGATTGATTTGGTTTGGAAACCTCATTTGGTATAGGCGCAGAGTTGTTTACGGTAGATTCTGTCGGCCCATAAACGTTAACATTGTCTTTATTGAAGAATGAAGTCAATCTACACTGCTTTTTTCGAAGCAGACATTGTGAATAACCCGGATAATGACGCCAGAATCTGAAGCGTCTGAGCGCTTTTAACGTGTAATATTCACTAAAGCGTCTAAGATAAATCATGTGACCGATCAGCTGATGAAATTCATACTATTTATTGAAAAAAATATATACAACGACGCTCGCAAAAAATATGCGTCACGGAAAACGCACGCTATGATATTACCGAGTCAAATGCAGAAGTACTACGTCAAAAACGCAGAAAAAGCTTTCAAGAGAAAACACTGCATGTAGTGATGTAATTAAGTGAATATGGATGAAACCAAATACAGCTTGATACTATGTCCTAATATATCCAAGTTATTTCATAAAAGGTCAGGGCCTCAAATAATTTCAACAGCAAACAGCAGGTCATTTACATGTATGAAAGAAATTTAAACATGAGTTGTTTCCCTTTCATTCAACTATAATTTGAAGAAATGCCATGGTCTGTGGTATCTAAGCTTTAGCAGTCCCTAAAAGGGGCCAATCAAAAAAATATGAGCAATTTTTATAAAAGGTAGAATGCTAATAACAAAGTTTGGTCAGATTATCCATCAAAAAGTTCTGTAGAAAAAGCTGTCTAAAGGTTTTTATTATTTTTAGCTCCCTTGACCCTAAAAGGGGCCTATCAAATTAAAATGAGCAAATTTGATAAAAGACTACCCAAGAATGATTAAGGCAAAGTTTGGTGATCATCCATCCATTAGTTCTGTAGAAGAAGATGTCTAAATGTGTTTTCTTGTTTTAGCCCTATTGACCCCTAAAAGGGGCCAATCAAATTATTATGAGCAAACTTGATCAAAGACTACCCAAGAATACTACAGACAAAGTTTGGTGATCATCCATCATTTAGTTCTGTAGTAGAAGATGTTTAAAGGTTTTTCTATTTTAAGCTCTGTTGACCCCTAAAAGGTGCCAATTGAAATGACATGAGCAAATTCAAGTGTGACTGTCACAATAATGCTACAGACCAAATTTGTAGTAAATCTGTCCAGCGGTTTCAGAGAAGATGATTGTTGACGCATGACGACGGACGACGGAGTATCCCCCTTTGATACTAATAGCTCACCCTGAGCCTTCGGCTCTGGTGAGCTAATAAAAAACACAAAAAATCCCTATCCAATGTAAATTCATGAAATTATATATGCATATTCATATAACATTTTCTGTTTAAGATGAGGAGGGCATTTGTGTCGTTTTGGTTTCTTAACTTACATTGAAATAATTTATATATAACGCAATCAGTGACTTTAAATGGAGTTAGGTGAATACATGTCCCTTTTTAATAAAGATATAAATCAAATCGGATAAAAATGTGAATTTATCTATTTCGTTGATATATAAGATTGTGGTATATCCATTCATGACGAGGCTATGCTTTCATCAAGAATATCAAAGGGATCATGGGCATCACCTGGAATGCATCCATGGCATGTTACGTTACGAACAAGAGGGGTATGTAATTGTTTAATCATAGCTAATAACACTAGATTGAATTTATTTTCAGAATATATTTTAAATTTCTAGATTTAATTAAGCAATTAATCGTTGAATTGAGTAAGATTTTATATGTCTTGTAGTATCTTAGTTCATAAACTTATATAACTTTTTTATGTATGCGTGTTTGTGCTTATTTCTGTGTACGCTAGTGTTTGTGAGTATACTTTAGTTGGATGTTGCGGCACATTCTTTTGATGAACTTTCATTTTAGACATTTGTTGATTTGTAGAAAAAGATAAGCGTAAGAAAACGTCTTGAAATGTTTTCATTTAATGACTTTATATTTGAAGTTGTACCCTAAATCTTTGATTTGAAAAATAAAATGCTGAACGATAATTTAATTTAGACTAGACACGAACATTTGACTCAATAAGTAAAACAAAAGAAGGACGGGTATGTCTTTCTATCAATTATCTTTAAAATAAACGTTTGTTGAAAATAGTCATGTTCTGTCGGCTTTATACTTTTCCGTTGGTATTGTGTTTTTATCGTGTCAGATATAATTTTACCTGGCACGTTTATTCATGTGTCTATCGGTGAAAAGGTAAATGTTAAGCACATAGTAAGGAGTACTGTTAATACCTGTCAGAAAAAATGACTGTCTTGATGTTATTTAATCTAAGGAAAGATTTAGTAATAAATACTAGAACCAATTTCCAAGATATGGGGGCTGGCCAGCATCGCCTGACATAAGATTGATATATTCTCAGTTGGAAAACACTAGCGTTTACACTTTTTTAGGTATTTTTATATTTTTCTATCTCAAATCAATATATACATTTAAACAACAAACTCTGACTATTATTTACACCCAAAACAAAGAACTCTGATCATATTTACACCCAAAATAAACACACATCTTCATCAGCCACTTTTACGAAATATCTTTTCACGTTTACGTCTTTCATGCGAAACAATACTAGACACATGGAGAGCCAAAGCTCTAAACACCTTATGGTTAAACAACACAATAAAATTGTGTCTCCTAAAATCTTTCTCAAAACACGCATATTTTCTGTTGTACCGATTTGACATTAAATATGTATAGAGTTTAATACACGCACAGCAACTGGTTTAAACATGATACTTACACTCCATTTAAAACAATGTATCACTGTAAAGAAATATTAACTAGTTCACGGGGGGGAATCACGTGACTTTGTATAGTAATACCCACGAGAAAATGGCGACTGCTGAGCCCCGGTAAGTACCTTATTATGTTAAATTAAGGTGACAAACGTTTCTTAAATCAAAACAAAACCTAGCGTATCATATGCGCGTTAATTTTCTTCGAATGACAATACAAAGTGCATTATCCTACGTTTTGTGGTTTTTGAGAACATTGTTTGAATTGGTTGAAAATTGCACATTCGGTGATAGTAATTCGCACGAAGCAATATAATTTGGTACCAAAATAAAGGAAAATAAGCTTACTCTCTGCACTGGAGGCACAAAATCAATCATTTTATTAACATCTGTTATCGTAGAAGTCCACATTAAATATATTTTCGAAGGTATGTAGTCTACAAATGTTCTTTGCAAGTATATAGTAAGTAAAACGAACAATTTCTGGATAGTAAGTCGCACGAAAACAAAATAGTAAGTTTCATGCACAGTTTCCATTAGCATACATATAAATTAAAAGAAAGTTAAAGTCCATATATAAAGAGATAGAAAATACTTATTTCAATTTTTCAAGATCAAATATTTCACTTTTTGTCTATAGAACGAATGCTTAAACGGTTGTAATCATAATATATCAAATGAACTTTTGATGGGATTTGATATTATACGGCTCAGTGTTATTTTTCTGTTGCGATAGTAGTTCTTTGACCTCTGCAGTTTCAGTGTGTCTTGACCCTCATTTTACTGTAATTAGAAAGAAGATGAACAAATATAATTGTTTGTTAATTGGTATGGTGATGTTTATTAACTGAATGCTGATGTTTTTATATGGCGGTATTTGTTACATTTAGTCACTATGCTACTTAATTTATGAAAATATATTGAAGAATTCGTAAGAACAAAATAACTTCTTACAAAAAAAAAAAAAAAAAAAAAAAAACAATGATACAGTGATACAAGTTATGATTAAGGCACATTGTGCCTCAGAAATCCATATTGTTTTAATTCTTTAGAAATGTCAAACATGTGTTTCATAATGTTTAAATAATGGATAAAACGCATGATAGAATTTTATTACAACTGAAAAAGGTAGCGCTGAAGTGATGTGTCGTTAAGGTAGCAAAATGTAAACAAAGTAGTATTTTGACTTCCATACGAAATACTTATTCACTAAAGATATACCATTTTCCAACAGAACCAAAGATGCAAAAGGTAGTTTGAGTATCTAGCAAATGAGTATGTTTTCGGAAACTGTAACAAGATACCAAAAATAAACAGATATTTTAAAAAATAAAAGGTTAAAGAAAAGCGAATATTTGAAATCAAACGGTCAAAGATATTGACACTTTTTAAAGTGAAGGCAAGTGGAGTAAAAAAAAATATTTACATAAAACAATCTTAGATGCTGGGTTTCAAATCACACCGTCAATGTCGGGACACCTGAGTTAAAGCACCGACGTTTTGTTAGCTAGTTTGATTCATGAAAGAATTCAAGGACTCTGGTCGGACTAGAATCCATTGCGGTGAGAAGCATGTGTATAAAAATCAGGGACATTAAACACTCGGCCATGGATGCCCTGAATATCTTATTTACTTACTCTATCACAAACAAAAAGTAAGAGTTTACGACGCAACACATTTGCACATGGTAAGAAAATAAGCGTATAGTAAAACATAACGTTTTAACAAAACTTCTTGGGTTTATTTATAAAATCTGCCAGTGAATAAAAGAATAAATTCAATAAAAACTTGGTATACCAGTTCTATGATGGCACTAAATATCAATGTGATATGGCGAATATCTTCTCCTTTGCGTTTTTGGTCCAAATTGCAGGTACTGAAAAGTAAATGATGGTGTTGTAATATTTCCTTCTGTACAGTTATTTCTTTATATAGCTAGTTCTAAGGATAACGGATGTGGGTCCAGTCTAACGTGAAAAGGGGCCAAGTGCAACGTACATTGTTGAGTATCAATGTCAATGTCTCATTTAGTTTTTTTTTAAGTTAAGTAATCTTTAATGAAATTATATGAACATGAATACATGTATTATGAAATAATATGAATTATTATTAAAATACTCTCTCGATTTTTGTTTCGCTGTCACCGTAGACGGAACACGCTTGCAAATTTGAAACCAAATAATTATAAAATAGTTTCGTCATATTTTAGTAAGCTATTGGAAACTATGCGTGAAACTTACTATTTTGTTTTCGTGTAACTTACTATCCAGAAATTGTTCGTTTTACTTACTAAACACTAGCAAAGAACATTTGTAGGCTGCAGACCTTCGAACAAAATTTTATATGGAATTCTACAAGAACAGATGTCAATAAAATGATTGATTTGGTGTCTTAAATGCAAAAAGAAAGCTTATTTTCCTTTATTTTGGTACCAAGTTATATCGCTTCGTGCAAATTACTATCGTTGGATGTGCAATTTTCACACAATTCAAACAATGTTCTCAAAAACCACAAAACGTAGAATAATGCAATTTGTATTGCCATTTGAAGAAAATTAACGCGCATATGATACGCTAGGTTTTGTTTTGATTTAAGAAACGTTTGTCACCTTAATTTAACATAATAAGGTACTTACCGGGGCTCAGCAGTCGCCATTTTCTCGTGGGTATTACTATACAAAGTCACGTGATTCCCCCCCGTGTAGTTGTTTCATCTACAACAATATATCACTGTAGTGAAATATTAACTCGTTGTAAGATACATTTCTCTACATATAAACTTCATGATTATTCTGACAGGGGCTACTGAAGAAAACACTCCACTGTTTTCAAACAAAATGAATAATCTGCAATGCCTCTTTTCAGGTATCGAGTCTACTTAGATAATCTGCACATACGTTGTCCTTTCCTTTCACAGCTACTATTCTAAACTTATAGTTCTGTAGAAACAATGCCCATCCCATTATGCGGCCGATTTCAACTTTTCATTTCTGAATATACGTAAAAGGAGCATGGTCTGTAAGCAGCTCAAATTCTTTCCCGTTCAAATATTTGTTGAATTTCTTTATTCAAAATACCATTGCAAGACATTCCCTTTGATAACCGAGTAGTTTCTTTCTCTATTCTGCAATGTCATACTCGCGTGAGGTATTGGAAGCAGACCATAATAAAAGTGTTGAAGAAGTGCAGCCTCTACTCCTGTGTCTGAAGCATCACTTTGCAAAACAAATGACTTTGAAAAGTCAGGAAGTCGAAATATTGGTGATCGTGTCAATACTTGCTTTAATGTCGTTAAAGCCTTTTCATGTTCTGGTTTCCATATGATTTTATTCACCCTGGATGAACAAGTTTTGCCACGTGACCACAAATACAAACGCCGGACCCAATTTTAGGTAATTATTTGCAGATATCTCTTTTTCCCACTGCGAGCACAAAAATAAGACATAGACCGTAGGACCCGGCGTAAATTAAGCTTTTATTTTATGTGAGTAGTCATTACTAGACTTTAGTAGTTTTTTAGAACACTTCGACACAAATGTTCTTTTCGCAAAGCAAACGCCGATAGGTTTTCCTTCTTCCAATCAATTTTTTCACTGGAAATACATGTTGAGGTAAAATAATAGAGGATATGTCTTTTAAAATGCCATTCCCGTCCCTAACTCATTTATAATTCCATTTGCAAAGTTATATTTGACATAATTCCATGTTATTCCCCGTATTGTCTAATTTGCAAACGTCGTTTGAACATGTAAAATATGCAAACGCCGGTTGAACATATTAAGGACGTTTTCGGGAGTTTTCATATTGACATATAAGCAAAACTAAAACTGTTCAATAGGATTTCTACTTCATATTTAAATTTGTTACCACTTTTTGTTTTCATGAACTTATTTTTCCTAGCATACTGCCATAAACGCTGTAACGTTTTGTCATTTGTCGTACTTTTGTTATCTTCGACCTTTGGAACTTTAAGAGGTTTCATTGCTTTCTTTTTAGCAGCAGCTATGTTTGTTACTTCTCGGCTAACCCACTTCCCTTATAATAAAGTGTATCGATGTCTATTTTTGCCATGGGTACAAACCTGGCCTGACCATCTATTACTTTCATGACACAATTTTTATTCAGCATTTGATCTTCTTACACCAACGTCTTTCTCACTGCTGCTAACTCGCAACCAGTGTCTCTTAACTTTCACCTCTTGATTACCAATATATTCTAGAAGAAGATCTTTCAAATCTCTCTATATAAACATCTATGTCATCTTTTGACTCTTCGAACTTTGGCAATCTTGGCCTCAAACCGGTGCTAGGTTGGATATCAGTGCGATCCCTCAGATCCAATTGACGTTCACCGTTCATGGACGGTAGTTTGCACTTGACAGTACCGTCCATGAACAGGCTCAATCAAACCGAGCCTGCAACATTTTCAATTTTTGATGTGTTGGGCTTTCTTTAGGGATTCTTATTTTCACTATTCTAATGATTCAATTGTACAGTTTCTTGTTATGACAGGCACAAAATTACCATTGGATAATTGAATTTCCCCCTCTTCAATACAGCCATCATAAAAACTTGCATAACCCCGATACTTTCTTATCATCTGATCTACCATCACGTCTATTTTCTCCAGGCCTACTATGCCAGTTCCTTGGTGAAGAATCCCGATTTGTTTGAAAGTAATTTCTATTTTGCTCTCCATATGACATTGCAGCAGCCTCATATCTTTTCTTAGTCAGATCTCAACAAGATCCTCTCTGTTACATATAAAGCATATTACTTTTCTTTTTTCTCTGTGATAGTGCTGTATTGGTTTCGATAGAGTACGTTGATTTAGGCGTATTAGTGATTTATTAAAAAAATCGCAATTTTAGAGCTTTTACTATGTGTAATTGTACCACCATGATCTTGGGTGTTTCTAAATTCAAAACTTCACCATTTTCGTGTTAAATATTGAATTCTGCTTAAGCCGGTGCTAGGGGGCGTGGACGGTAACTTGCACTTTCCAGTACCTTCCATGAACAGGCTCATTCAAACCGAGCCTGCAACATTTTCAATTTTGTTGTGTTGGATTTTCTTTAGGGGTTCTTTTTTTCTCTATTTTATTGTCACATCCGTGTTATTTGTGCCGTGTGGCGGCTGTAAAAAGTCTCCCCGTAAATTTAATCAATGATGTTATATTATCGATCCTTGAAGATCGTTCAGCACGACATTATTGTTGTGTATACATGTTATTTGGTACTTTTAGTTTCTTCTATTTGGCCATTTTCAACTTTGGTTGTTCCTACTTGAATACTGTATAATCACAAATTGCTCTCTAATGATAAGATCTTTTAATTCATCTACTGTATTTGCAGCGTTGGCCATTTTAGTCCATCTACTAAAGTACCTATCTAAGCGAGCCATAAATTTGTTTACAGTCTCCCCTTGTTCCGGCTTACTCTTTCTAAATTTACTTCTGAAACCGTCTTCTAACCGTCTTACTCTTTCTAAATTTACTTCTGAAACCGTCTGATCCTTGAAGATCGTTCAGCCCGACATTATTGTTGTGCTTGTGGTATTTTTAGTTTCAACTTTTCGGCATTTTCTAGTTGGGTGGTTCCAATATTCCTACTTGAATAATGTTGAATCACCCTTAGGATATGTTGCCTGCTTTTTAAATTTGTCTTTTGACGTCTTATCTGTGATACGCAGGCTTCATAACCTCTGATCCCCTTTCAAAATTCCATTTTATTTAGTTCCGCCCATTGTTTTCTCGTTTTGGGCACACGCTTCATATTACTTGGGGACCATACGCCGCTTTTCATGGAATGGCACGGGAGTGTCACATTGAAGGTTCCATGATAACCGCCGTATGAACACATTTGCGGATGTTTCTAAATTCAAAATTTTACTATTTCACGTTTAAATGTTGAATTCTGCTTAAGCCGGTGCTAGGGGGCGTGGACGGTAACTTGCACTTTTCAGTACCGTCCATGAACAGGCTCAATCAAACCGAGCCTGCAACATTTTCAATTTTGCCGTGTTGGGCTTTCTTTAAGGATTCTGTATTTATTTATTTTCTGTTAATTGGTATATTTTCAAAACTGCTGTTTATAATCCTTGATAGTCTGATGCTTGCTCAGGGGGCATACTAGTGTACACTTTCCCCGCTAATAAGGAACTTAAGCTTATTGCCCATGTATCTTCTTTCCATCCCTGACTAATGGAGAATCTTTAAAATCGCTCTATATAAGCATCTATGTCATCTTTTGACTCTTCGAATTTTGGCAATCTTGGCCCCAAACCGGTGCTATGTGGGGTATCAGTGCGATCCCCAGCCTCGATTTTTAACTTCATCAATTTTATTTCTTGCTCTTTCATTTTCATTTTTTTTTCAACATGAAATAAACGTTTCTTTTCTTCACGTTCGGCTTCTTTTTCTAGACGCTCGGCCTCAAAACGCCGGCGCTCTTCTTCACGTTCAGCTTCTTTTTCTAAACGCTCTGCCTCAAGTCGCCGTCGCTCTTCCTCACGTTCAGCTTCTTTTGTTTTACGCTCGGCCTCAAATCGCCGTTTATCTTCTTCACGTCTAAAATTTCTTTCTTCTCTTTCAAGATATTCCATTTTTTTTCTTTTGAACATAATCACGTAAATCCACGTCCTTCAACCCAAGCCTCTCTCCCAAAGAGACCCATTTCTCATAATCAATAATTGCTTTATAATGGATAACTATTCAATGAAATAATCAACTTCTACGAACAAACTTTAAGTAAATACGTATTACTCAACAAAATGATTTACCTCTGTAGCACCGACAAGTGCTTACCCAAATCTAAAATAGACAAAATAAGAATCCTTAAAGAAAGTCCAACACAACATAATTGAAAATGTTGCAGGCTCGGTTTGATTGAGCCTGTTCATAGCCGGTACTGTAAAGTGCAAACTACCGTCCACGCCCACTAGCACCGGCTAAAGAAGAATTCAACATGAAATTGTGAAATTTTGAAACATCCGCAGATGTGTTCATACGGCGGTTATCATGGAACCTTCAACATGACACTTCCGGGCCATTCCATGAAAAGCGGCGTATGGTCCCCACGTAGTATGAAGCGTGTGCCCTAAACGAGAAAACAATGGGCGGCACTAAATAAAATGGAATTTGGAAAGGGGATCAGAGGTTATGAAGCCTGCATATAACAGATAAGACGTCAAAAGACAAAGCTAAAAAGCAGGCAACATATCCTAAGGGTGATTCCACATTATTCAAGTAGGAATAATGGAACCACCCAACTAGAAAATGCCGAAAAGTTAAAACTAAAAATACCACAAGCACAACAATAATGTCGTGCTGAACGATCTTTAAGGATCGGAAATATAACATCTCTGATTGAATGTACGGGGCGATTTTTACAGCCTCCACACGGCACAAACAACGCTGATGTGGCGATAAAATAGACAAAATAAGAATCCTTAAAGAAAGTCCAACACAACATAATTGAAAATGTTGCAGGCTCGGTTTGATTGAGCCTTTTCATGGACGGTACTGTAAAGTGCAAACTACCGTCCACGCCCCCTAGCACCGGCTTAAGCAGAATTCAACATTTAAACATGAAATGGTGAAATTTTGAATTTAGAAACATCCGCAGATGTGTTCATACGGCGGTTATCATGGAACCTTCAACATGGCACTTCCGGGTCATTCCACGAAAAGCGGCGTATGGTCCCCACGTAATAGAAAGCGTGTGCCCTAAACGAGAAAACAATGGACGGAACTAAATAAAATGGAATTTGGAAAGGGGATCAGAGGTTATGAAGCCTGCATATCACAGATAAGACGTCAAAAGACAAAGCTAAAAAGCAGGCAACATATCCTAAGGGTGATTCAACATTATTCCAGTAGGAATATTGGAACCACGCAACTAGAAAATGCCGAAAAGTTAAAACTAAAAATACCACAAGCACAACAATAATGTCGTGCTGAACGATCTTTAAGGATCGGAAAATATAACATCTCTAATTGAATGTACGGGGCGACTGTTTACAGCCTCCACACGGCACAAACAACGCTGATGTGGCGATAAAATAGACAAAATAAGAATCCTTAAAGAAAACTCTATAAACTCTATAAATTATTTATCATTGAATGATTAACGTGTCGTTGCCCTGTCCTTTTTATGTTTGGAGTCCGCCTGGGCTCCTTGCCATTGGTTCTTGTTGCTGGGTCATATGGGGGTTGCGTTCATTGAACGCCGCCTTTCCTTGTTGATCTTGTTTTTCATAATTTTATATAACAATGCCATCTACCGGGCACTGGCAATGAACTTGTTTTATCAGTAACAACCAGGGCACCGATAGTAATCTTTTTGTGGTGTTTAACAAATAGGTTTTATGACAACCAACTGAGCGCCGGCGGCAAAAAACTATTTATTCACTTTTAAGAATAACCACCCACTGGACACCGGTTATAAACTTTTATAAATTATTGATGTCTAACATCAACAAATTATAAGCTATATCTTTATCATTAATATAAACTATTAACTCAATCATTCAAATTATCACAACAAATGTTTCCCCAAAATCACCGTAAAAACAGTATTTACCAAAGGGTGCTCTCTTGCTAAATGCATTTAAATCTTCAGTTAACATAAACTTTAAACACAGTCCGTCACCGTTTCTCTACATATAAACCTTTATTTAAAGTCTATTGTACAGATAATATAACACTACTACAGATTAATCGATTTTCGCCTCACAGCTTTTACACTGCTCTATTTTACCAACAGATCGAAAATGATTTAAGGTTTAACATAAATTTTATCAAAGTTTAACAAACAATATTCTGCCAGGAAACATTCCAACTTAAAGAGAAGATCCCGGACGAGCCCCCAAATTGTCAGGAGAAATGACTGCCTTGATATTATCTAATCTAAGGAAAGATTTAATAATAAATACTTCAACCAATTTCCAAGATATGGGGGCTGGCCAGCACCGCCTGACATAAGATACAAATATTCTCAGTTGGAAAAAGCTAGCATGTTATTGTTAATTAAACACTTTTTTTTAGATATTTTTCAAATCAATATATACATTTAAACAACAAACTCTGACTATTATTTACACCTCAAACAAAGAACTCTGATCATTATTTACACCCAAAACAAACACACATTATTTATTAGCCACTTATACGAAATATATTTTCACGTATACGTTTGTTATACGAAACAATACTAGACACCTGGAGAGCCCAAGCTCTTAACAACTTATGATTAAACAACACAATTAAATCACCACAAAATGTAAAATACAGAAATGACTATATTTTTACAACTCTACGATACTCTATAATATAGATAAATACAGAAACCCTAAAGAAAACCCAACACGACAAAATTGAAAATGTTGCAGGCTCGGTTTGATTGAGCCTGTTCATGGACGGTACTGGAAAGTGCAAGTTACCGTCCACGCCCCCTTCCACCGCCTTAAGCAGAATTCAAAATTTAAACTTGAAATAGTAAAATTTTGAATTTAGAAACATCCGCAAATGTGTTCATACGGCGGTTATCATGGAACCTTCAATGTGACACTACCGGGCCATTCATTGAAAATCGGCGTATGGTCCCCAAGTAATAAAAAGCGTGTGCCTTAAACGAGAAAACAATGGGCGGAACTAATTAAAATGGAATTTTAAAGGGGATCAGAGGTTATGAAGCCTGCATATCACAAACATTCAACCAACAATATTAACTTCACACCATCTAATCAGCATCAGAAAAGCCAACAAAAGCACTCAATATTTACACAAAGCATCAACTAATATAATCTTGACCAGACAAACATTCACCAATTTCTACCAAATATTTATTACCAAACAGATATAACTCAACAACCACACATTTAATTACAACCAAAAAACCCTGATCAATTAAGATCACCACAATATATCCAACCAACTTCAACAAATCAACAAAACTCCCTTCAAAACAACAAATTCTCTTCTCAACAAAAATATAAACGCTACACACTGTCAGTGTGTCTGCCACTCTGTTGAACCGATTTGACATTAAACATGTATAGAGTTTAATAGGTTTAAACATGTTATTTACACTCCATTTAAAACAATATATCACTGTAGGGAAATATTAACTCGTTGTAACATTCATATCTACATACATATCATGATTATTCTGACAATACCCCAGATGAGTGGATGTAAGAATGTTTAACATTTTACACTTGTATATGCCGGATATTGATAAAGGTTTTTGTAAACGTTTTGGTTCCTCTTTCAGTATAAATGATCATTTAATTATGGTCAACTTTTGTAATTTGTCATCGGTTACGTAGATGATAGTGACACTTTAAATAATGGCCAGTCTATATATTCTACATTCAAAGTTACACATATTGAACTTGATGATACGCCTGTGTTAGCTGATAAATTATTATGACAACAGCCGTCGAAATGTCGTTGTCTAAGCCGAAATAAAACGTATTTGGTTCATAAGTAAACGTTACGATTGTCGATTGTAAACGCCTCAATATTAGATATATTTTGTTAAATTGTATACAGTAGCTTATTAAATAAGATGATATTAAAAAGGATTAAATAAACTCGCATGAGTTGCCATAAAAAATATAATTTTAAATAAAAGCATGTTAAAATGTTATAAAGCAATCCAATATATTACTACCTGGGACAAGTTAAATATTTCATAAACAACGTATTAATTTCGTTTTCATCACATGCCAAAACACTTTGTTATGAATATGAATAAATAAATTTGTTTTGACGTTTCACGCGCGGTTATGTACGCTATATAATAATACGAGTGTTTGGACCTGGCTAAGGTAATATTCGACGGCGAGGTAAGGGGTGAAATTCAAGACACTTGGATAGTCAGTAAAATATGCATACAAAAGCTGTTTTAAAAAACAAGTCATTTTATATTTTACTTTAGATAAGATTATGCTTGTACAGACATTCCGACAGCGTTCTTTTCGCCAAGGATAAACTAAAAAGGACAGTTGTATGCAAAAGTGAAACCGCACGGTGGACTTTTTCGTGACAAAAATCTTTAATATTTGAAGAGCTATTTTCAGAAACGAAGAAATTCGAAATGATATATAGATGATATATTGTCATATTGTCCTAAAGAAAAATGTTCTTTTAATTAATGTTTAGAAATAAATAATAGTATCCAGTTTCAAAATCATATAAGTCAAATGATTGTTTCTAGTCTTTTATGGTTTCTATTAAAATTATGTAATTAAAATTAAGCACGTTTTTCATTCTTAGAAGGATAAAAATGATATATAAATAATGTTAAAAGAAAAAAATAAAGAGAAAAACCAAGTTGACCCCATCTTGGTTTTGAATCAACGACCCTCAATTTTAATGCATTTGACAGAAATGGGGCACCCCCTGTGCCAGACGAAATTTCCGGCAATGATAACACTAACGGAAACACAACTCTGATATTAAAGTATAAAAAAAACCTCTCATTTGATTATAAAAGTACAAAAATCTGGAAACAAAGAAGTCAACCTCATACATATAGTTCTCAAAGAAGTAGACGCAAAGGATATTTCAAGTCAAGAAATAAGTGCCTCATTTCAATTATATAATTATTAAAGGTTTGTATTGCCAAATAATGCTAAATTGAATAAATATATGGTTTCACATAACAGATATGGTATCTAGTACATTGAAAACACGTGGACACAATGGTTCCATTATAAGAAGAATAGATAATGAAACACAGAATTACCGACTTAGACATATAATAATTATGTTTTTCAAGATTAGCGGTTATGAACCTTTTTTCTTGTTTAACCATCTGCAAAGGACGAGTATAACATTTTTACGCGTCGATTTGAATGCACGAAGAAAGGTACATTAACCCTATATAATATCATTTTTCGGTTATTAACAGTTTTGAAGACACGTCAGTGCTATAAGTGACAAAGGAAGACTTAATTAAAAATTTGCGGATTTTTCAAAGCTGTAACATTTAACCGACTATCAAAATATGGTTGCGCATTTGCATTAGTATTGTCTCAACTATGGGCTGAAAGAGGCGAGGCTTGCCTGAATACATAAGAAATTCTACTTGAACTTGAATCTTATTTTGGTCCATAAAACTGATCGATAACATGAAGTAACCCGCGTTATATGCTTTCCAACAGCAAATACGAGGGATATCCGGAAAGTTCATATACTTCTTCATTTTTTATACTATAACAATACATATGTTGTACAAATTTTGTCAGCACAATTATACATTTCTAGCTAACACATTTATAAAAGATTACTGAACTGTGAGTTACATTTGTATTTTAACAGTAGTTACATACAACATATATACATCGTCATGGAGCACTTTGACAACATCAACGGCATCAAATTAACTTCACATTTACAGATTATTCAATTTCTTCCGTTTTCAACAGCCATGGTACCTCTATGGTGTATACTTGATACATGTTTGTTTCTTTGCCATTACTTTATGAATTTCATATACTAAAATTAATTTAAAAACAAAGATGTCACTGGTTCCCATACAGTGTGTGTGAGATGTCTGTCTTTTCCAAAGAATTTTATAACGCAATCTACGATATTTTGGCCATGCTACTTATGGTCGTCTGGAGCGCTCTTTTACCTAATTCTGTCATTACCGCTTCTTAATCTTGTTTGACATTTAAACACAAGTTGTCTTGAACAATTTATGGCTGAATTTGTTTTTAAAGTAACGGCTAAAATCTCAGTTGGTCCCATATTAGAGTTTCTATGAAGTTAAATAACATAACTTTGCTCCGTCCTTGAATTTGACGTCATTTTGCAACACAAAATTTACGCACCTTCATTGTCTAAAACCGTCCTTAACAAGCTGTTTATTTACGTATGACGTCATAATTTTCACAAAATATCATGCAATTGTATCATTTGATGTCGCAAAATTAACACGAGAGTTTGCGTAGAAAATACATCTTTTAGCAACTTATTATTCAAGTAGCTATCGTCATGTAATCAAAGTGCTCCATGATTTGTTGATAATGTTGCCATGGTGATTGGCGCTTTGCGAATATTACTTTTATCATGTTTTTTTTAATTTAAAAATATGTAGCATATAAATAGTTTAGCAAAATATTCAATCATCATATTGATATGACTGCTTATAATAATTTTATAGCCTTGTCTACGAACTTTCCGGACAGCCCTCGTAATGCCTGCTGATTTCTGAAGATGTTACGCATTTTCCTAAAACAAAATAAAATCTTGCAACAGTAATGGTAAAATATATCAATACGAAACTAAACTGATTAAAAAATAAAATGTATTTTACATTACAAGCGGGCAAGTACAAAAACAGCATTTTGTGGTGGAACATTGATTTCCCAGCGATACGTGATAACTGCTGCTCACTGTATCAAAGAGTTTAATTCATCATTTGATGTTCCTTTTTCGGCAGAAAATGTGGATTTTTTACTTGGTAAAATGTATTTTTGATACTAATTCAAGTGAAAGAAAGGAAATGAAAACATGATCAAATTGTAAATACTTGACACAAAGTTTTTTCTTATTTACATACAAAATTAACTGTTTTTGGTTTTGACCAAACATTGAAACGCCATAAAATTCTTTCTATTTTTATAGAAAAAGATATGATATCCAATATCCACGATATTGTAGGTTTATTAAGTAACCTGGACCATCTTTTTCAGTGCTTGTGGGCTAATTGGTGACAGAAATATATGTCTTAATAATTATTAAACATAAAACTATTTTTTCACATTATTTATTATGAGTATAGATTAAGGATATTATTTGATATTTCAATATATTGAAAAAATGTTATACTACAGATATATGATTCATACGTGAGAAAAAAAGCACCATTTAATTAACAATTACTTTTTTAAATCAATTTAGGCACAACAGATTGTATAGGAACTCAGAATGGTGGGATAAGAAGAACAGTACGGAGTTTTACTGTTCATCCAGATTACGAAGGCAGAGGAGCTCATGATAATGATATAGCATTGATAGAATTGGACAGTTTCGTTGAATACAACAAATTTATACGTCCTATATGTGTTGAACCGGCGGAATACAATGACAGGGTGTTTCTAGAAAACAGTGGCTCCGTTAGTCGTGTAATTGGGAAAGTCGCTGGCTGCGGTGCAACAAAATCTAGAGGCAAATCAATGCCTCAGGAACTGATGGTAGATATTTAAGATATGAATACTAAGATTTAAATCAAGCAAATGATATGTTTTGTCGAACACTGGTTATTTAAATTTTATCTATAGTAAATGTCTATAATTAAGAAGAAAAAAAAGGTTTGTTGATCTTAACAATCAGTTGTAAGACCAATGGTTTATAAATGTTATCGCTAATGTTCTTGGTTAAATAAAAATACGTCTGTGATAACAGAATGAGTTAAAAGAAAAAAAAGAAATATTCCGAGATTTTAATAATCAAATGACTGGCTGTAATTTACTTTGGTCGCGTGATTGGGAAAATCGCTGGCTGCGGTGTAACAAGAGGCAAAACAATAATGTACCAGAAACTGAAGGTAGATATTTAGCATGTGAAAACTAAGATTAAAATATAGAAAATGATTTTGTCCGTTTTGTCAAATACTGGTTAGTGATACTTAACTAGATTATATGTGTGTATTAAAATGATTTATATATTAAGCAGAAAAAGACGTGTTTAGTGACAACCAGAGCTGCATTACTTTGTAATGGTACTGCAGTACGTTCTGCAGCGATTTTGCAAGTACTGGCACTGATATTGAATTACTCTTACAAAATGTTGCTACTACTGGTACTGGTACTGCATTACTGTCTTAAAAAGTGGTACTGCTACTGCATGACAAGGCAGTACTTTGGTTTTGATAAAAATGGTATCATTTTTTGTATTGAATATAACGACGTTTTCGATCAAAGAATTATTTATGAAAATAATATTCCAAGATTTAAGGGATCAAATGACCGATTGCAAACCTATCAGGAGCATTAAAAGTGCATTCTTTGTAAATGTCATAGACTAACGTGAGATATTCAGGTAGAAATGCGTATATGTATAGAAATTGCAACAACTCTATATGCCAATGACAAGTTTAAGATCGGATTACATCGATCAGGTACCGAAACTCGGCAACCAACTTTCACAGTGCTATTAACAAAAGACACAATTTTAATTTGTATGTTGCAATGTCAAAGTAATTTTAAAAACATCAACGATTACAAAGTAATATGTAAAGTGATTATTGAAAATATTAATATTTTGATATTTTAATTTGCATTTTAAAAGGATATTTATTTAGTTTAAGTCTTGTTTTTCATATGTTTTATTTTAAGGCATTTTATAACAGACAAACATGTCGCCTTATTATGTAAAAGATCCTTCGGCACGACATAATTGTTGTGTTTGTGGTATTTTTAGTATTAACTATTCGGCATTTTCTAGTTGGGTGGTTCCAATATTCCTACTTGAATAATGTTGAATCACTCTTAAGATATGTTTCCTGCTTTTTAAACTTTGTCTTTTGACGTCTTATTTGTGATATGCAGACTTCATAACCTCTGATCCCCATTTAAAATTTCATTTTTTAGTTCCGCCCATTGTTTTCTCGTTTTGGGCACACGCTTTTTATTACTTGGTGATCATATGCCGCTTTTCATGGAATGACACTACTGTATGACATTGAAGGTGACATAATTACCGCCGTATGAACACATCTGCGGATTTTTCTATTTTCAAAATTATGCCATTTCATGTTTAAATGTTGAATTCTGCTTCAGCCGGAGCAAGGGGGTGTGGACGGTAGTTTGCACTTGAAAGTACCGTCCATGAACAGGTTCAATCAAACCGAGCCTGCAACATTTTCAATTTAGCCATGTTGGGCATTTTTTTGGGATTCATATTTTCACTTATCGAATCAATGGGCAACAAACACCATATACTCATTGACACAATGTTTCGTGTTGGGGTTGCGTTCATTGAACGTCGCCCTCTCTTATTGATCTTGTTTTACATAGTTTTTAGTAAAATGCATTTTGTAACATAATCCTATTTCATATTATAGGATGTATATATTCCGTATGTGGACAGAGAAACATGTCTTGAACCAAGGGGCAACAAACACCATATACTTACTGACACAATGTTTCGTGTTGGGTTGCGTTCATTGAACGTCGCCCTCCCTTGTTGATCCTGTTTTACATAGTTTTTAGTAAAACGCATTTTGTAACATAATCCTGTTTCATATTATAGGATGTTTATATTCCGTATGTGGACAGAGAAACATGTCTTGAACCAATGGGCAACAAAGGCCAAAGACTTACTAATACAAGGTTTTTTTGCTATGTTAGCGTCCATGGAATGTCGCCGTTCTTTGTTGATCCTGTTTGTCATATTGTTTAGTTTAATGCATTTTATAACATTTACCTATTTCATATTATAGGATGTATATATTCCGTATGTGGACAGAGAAACATGTCTTGATGCTTTGGGCCGCAAACGCCTTGAACTTACTGACACAATGTTTTGTGCGGGGAGTAAAGTAAGTATTATATATTTCCAAGAATTGGTTTCATTATATCGAACATACTCTAACGTTGAGTGGCTTTTGTTTTGCTTTGAAATATAATGATAATTGTAAGACAATAGATGGAACAGGGTAAAGTGTGTATAGGACTCGTACTGTTTTTAATCTGATAGCCTAGTAATGTTTAAAATTAATTATATCCATTTCTCAAATCACTCATTAATATTGCGGATAAGTAAAATACACACGCGCAAACAAAATATGACGATAAAATCTGGCATATGAACCAATATTTGTCGATATTTTCTATTTCTTTGCAAAAGGTAGAAAATAAAAGCACAATGACGTAAATGTATTTGAATGTTTAACGGAAGTTTAGCTGCCATGGCAAACATTCTTAATTTACTATAATAAACCATCATCTTAAAAGAGACACAGGAAAAACTGTTTGTTTCTTCTAACCGAATATTCAATCAGATATTCTATTAATGTTCTCGAAATGAGCTCACTTAGCAGTTGTAGTTGCAAAGATTTTCTCCTATTGAAGTTGGAAAGAAGATTTAAGGCTTAATTCTAAATATCACAGTGAACCATTGGAACGGAATAACACCCATCAAGTCAAAGACCTACATGTGTTTTTCACTTAAACTATATTCCAAGTTAGTTCTTGTAACCTCCGATGCTTATTATTCTTATGCAATTTGCTTTAACATAATTTGGTGATTCTGTTTACTTTAAAATATAATTTAACAAGCAAACATTACATTACACTTCAAAACACACACAAATTTGCTGAAAAAAATAAACAATAAACTATTATAGTTAGCGCGATTTGAGTAAATAAAATCAATAAAATATTTTTGTTTTGTCATTCACTCGTGTGTGGTTCGTTCCCTTTAAAATATTTAAATTTGCCAGTTTTTATTGTTTTTCTCTCCTATTAAAGATTGGTAAAACTGGGGACATTTGCAGAGGGGACGGTGGAGGCGGCTTAATCATGGCAACAAGCTCAAGATGGGTTCTTACTGGAATCGGTTCCTGGGGCATGGGATGTGATGTGGATAAATACTACGGTGTTTACACAAACGTTGGCATGTTCTATGATTGGATAGAGAGTGTTACAAAATTTAACGAAGAGGAGGTGCCAGACTTTATCAATGATTATTGACCTTGAATATTGCATACATACTGATATAGAATGAACTAGAATATATCATATTTACTATTTTTATATTAATAGGCACAATATATTACTAATTAACGTGCATTCTTTGCTTACGATGTTTTACTACGTGTAAACGTTCTTTCCTGTTTTCATATGGATGAAATTAATTAAGTGTGTTTCATTATTGCTTTTTAGTTGATACAAATTTATTCTTGGTTCGATTGGATGCTATAAGCTTATTGCAACACTCTCGAACCAATCAGTACTAAGGAATGAATGTAAACTTACTTGCTTAAGGAAACAATGGCTATCCCCTGACAGGGTTTGATTTTGTTAAAACACATTTACACATTGTACTGAAAACAACAGTCATTCCTATTTTATTCATATGTGCAACTTACCGGGAGCAATGACAGGGACAACTTAAATAAAACATTAAAATCTGAAGAATACTTCATCTTTAATAAGTTGGTGCATTATTAATTTTTAAGGAATAATAAAGTTTATACGACATGATTCAAATATACTTTTTTCAAATACAAGAATATGTTTGAACGTTTAATCATAATATTAAATAGTTCGCCTAATTTCTTATTATAAACCTAAAAAACATGTAATGTAGTTGTCAGACAATTAAAGGCGAACGACAAATTTCATACGTGAAGCTATCTACAATCATTTTTTATTTATTAAAATCTATAATAACTGTTTCTATAAAATTGTGTTAATTTAAAATACTTCTTCAGGTAAATGGATATAGGAACATCTTCATGACAAAGTCCATTATGATCATAACCTTTTACGTTATTTAGATTTACTTCGCAAAACCCTTCCAATTCCCGCCACCATTATAATGTGTTTGTACTCATGTCTGTGTATATGTATTATCATACACAAGGAAAGTTTCCATGACTACTTTTTAATAATATGTTCAATATTTCAACATGTTCAAGTATATATTGCAGACCTACTTCTAGCATCATGCAAATGTTTTATACTGAACTAATCATTTGTCGAAGATCGAAAAATAGGTTGATTATTTCCACAGTTTGTATTAAAACTGAACGGGAAATTGTCACAATATGGACTACGATGGAACACAGGCTGATCACAACTACCACACAAAACAAAGCACAACTCAATACAAACTATTAAAAATTTTATTTACAAAAATAAATGAAAATTTATTATGAAAGTAAATGATATGAATGAATGAATATAAAAAAATAAATAAAAGTTCCGTGTCACGTTTGTAATGTTCTGTCGAATAGCTTAGAAATTTTACACAACAAGAATGAATCTGTCTGTCATGATGACCATGTGCGTCTTTAAACATCTATTTGCGAGTCCCAAAGAAGATTTAAAATTCGTTCATAATATAGGCATAGTTACCCTGCGTGGAAAGCGTGAAATATAACTTTCACGATTTTCTTGAATTCCAGAACACATGTAAAATATGCAGGCCCGTTAAATCAAATTTAAAGAACGCAAATAAATTTGCACTTTATCACTAACTTTCTTATTACTGGACCGAATTTTATGAAAAATATGTCAAAATGCTTGATACCAAGAAATTTAAGCAATCAATAAAAATACTGATATAAGTAATTTATCTCGATTACTCTGAATTTTACAAAAAGATGATATTATAATTTACATTGGATTAAGTATAAAACTGAGGTTCGGAATGAAAATATAATACTACAAAAATCAAAGTACTGAAAGCCCGTTTGAGCATTTACGAATTAGTTTACTTTGTGAGAGATAAACATTGCAAACGAATTAAGCCCTGCTTTAGAATATGTCTTAAATATTTTAATACTGCTAAACTATCTCTTACTTTGATAGTTTCTGCTGTGTAGTTATTAAAATTTAAAAATTATAAGTAACCATCGCCGCTTGAAAAGTGTTGCACAATTATATGTAAAAAGTATTATTTTGTTCAATATATTTTAATCATGTTCTTTAAACATATTTGTAAGGTAAAAAAAAATATATGCACAGTAAAAATATATATGGACATTAATTAATACATAAATAGCACATGGGTAGTTGGTTAACAGTAAAAATATCACCCCTAAGAAAATACTGTTACCCGTAAAGCCTCGGGAAACAGTATTTTCACGAGGGGTGATATTTTTACTGTTGCTCACCAACCCATGTGTAATTTATTTTATTACCCCGAACAAATCATTTGAACATTTCAACTCAATCTATTTGTAACACAATTCAGCCAAGTGTAACAATAACTCAACTATCCTTACCTTGCAAGTTGAAAAAAAACATGACCCGGTTTTTATACTATTAAAAAGGATTGTTACCCTGCAACAGTACAAATGTCTTAGTCACATGGTACATTTGCTTTAACATCCCAGTGATATATGGGAAACTTACTTTACAAAACGTGAGGGGTAATAATAACAAGAAAAATATTACATACATTTGTATGCTATAAAGGTACGATCTCATACAAATTTCTGTGAAGACTTCTTACGTTTGCTGCATGAAAGGTGTAATGTTAAATAAACAGACATGTCATCAGATAGTTTATATTTCTAAACATTTTCAGGGAATGTAATAACGGTATCATAATATCCAAGCTGCATACCTTCAGATCAGAAAAAAATGATTTCAAGGAAATCAAAATATAAAAAGCAAAATAATGCACGACCAATTTACTGCTTTAACTGCTTTAAAACACAAGCAGTTATCATAGTATTGCAAGCAATCCATAAGTCCCCTACCGGTAAGAGCCCAAGCAACATTCTGAAGGGCCATTGGCCATTCACTTATGTTCCTTTTTAAATAAATTTGTTGAAAAAGTTCTTTAAAAGTGATCACAGGAAACAGTTTTTATGTACAGACAGACAGACGGACTGAAGGATACTCTAAAGTTATTTTTTAAACATCCCTGTTATCAAAATATAACATTTTTAAAATCCTATCATGATTGAAGAAGTTGGAGTAAAAATTACCAATTTTTCAAAAAAAAAGTCTAAGTTTGCAGTATTGAACACTCACAAATGTTGAGTGATAATAAGAAACATTTATATGAAGTTTGAAGTAGATACATTCAGAAAAAGAAGTTATTAAAAAAAAACAATGTTTTTTTTCATAAAAATTTTATGTTCAAGGAGGTAATTCTGATAAATTTTGTGCTAGAGTTGTAAACCTTGTCACATATGATGTGGTTGATGACAAGCAACTTATATTCAAAGTTTGAAGAAAATACCTTAAGAAATAAAGTATTTATAGTGAAAAAAACTTAAAAACTAGAATCAGAAATCTTGAAATTCAGTCTATTTGTTGCCATAGCAACCAGAATTTTCAACATAGGAAGATAAGAAAAGGATGTGCATAATTTCCATACTGCCATCTACCCATATGTCAAGTTTCATAAAAATATTTTCAGTACTTTTTGCGATATCACTGGATCCAGGTTATGTGTAAAATTTGCCATATTTTCAGTCTATTTGTTGCCATAGCAACCAGAATTTTCAACATAGGAAGAAAAGAAAAAGACGTGCATAATCTCCATACTGCCATCTATCCATATATCAAGTTTCATAAAAATATTTTCAGTACTTTTTGCGTTATCACGGGATCCAGGTTATGTGTAAAATTTGCCATATTTTCAGTCTATTTGTTGCCATAGCAACCAGAATTTTCAACATAAGAAGAAAAGAAAAAGACGTGCATAATCTCCATACTGCCATCTATCCATATATCAAGTTTCACTTAAATATTTTCAGTACTTTTTGCGTAATCGCGGGATCCAGTTTTGTGGACTGACGGACGGACAGACGGACGGACGGACAGACGGACAGACGGACGGAGGGTAAACCTAAAGTCCCCTCCGGTAAACCGGTAGGGGACTAATAAACATTTCCACTGCACAGAATATATGAAAAGCGTGCAAACCCAGTGAAATATAAACAATTAAACTCATTGTAAATGTAATTGTTAATGTCACAGGTTTAAGAAATTATTATTTGTTTTACAAAAACATCATTAATTGTTATCAATTGATGCAAAACGGTTTGTAAATATTTATATAAGACTATTCAAAATAAAGATAACGAACGTACAACACGCTCAACATTTATTTAACTTCGTATATGTTTTGAATCGACCGATCATAATACGATATATTTAAATGAACTACTATAATGTTGGCATATATTGGCCGCTCATCTATGGTAGGTTAGGCGTAGATGCTCATACCGCAAGTGTTCCTCTCAACAGAAGGTGATTAGGCGTTATCAGCATGTTACCAGCTCAATACGAAACCACACATACATGCAATGCAAGGACTTCAAGCAACTCAAGCTAGCAACGCACTAAATTTTAGGTTAATAGATACACACAAGCATTGCATCAAAAGTATATAAAACTACGTGATCACAGACCTCAGCTCCCCACGGTAACGAAATGGAAACCACTACCAACGTAAAGGTAAGAGAAACTATAAACATGCAGGTAGGTATGTGGATGTGCCAGGGAGGTACAAGTGCGCAACACTGTCTTCAATTCAAGCTATACAACACCACAAGGCAACGCAATCTAGATCTCACCATGTACTTTTTAAGCCCGATCTGGTGGCTCGAAGCAACATGGTTAGACCTTAATTTCAAGTTAAGAGCTTGTATGATATGCTTAACGCCGCAGATCACCTTTGTTAAATTTTATGCAATTCCAATTACTCGCAAGGATAACTTGGACAGAAACAAACATTGTTTAAAGACACAGCTCCGTTAATAACATTGCAAAGTAAATAACAACCAACTACCCAGACACGGAACAACCCCCCCCCCCACACACACACACACATTCCCGTAACGTACCGGTGTACCAACAGAAAGAATCAAATACCGTGACTGGAACATCCCTGATTTAAATAGTAAAAATTTAAGATTTAAGAATATGAATGCTTATCGTCCATTCAATATGATACATGTGTAGATACACTTTTCCACTCTCAGAATGTCTTTGTGTCGTGGACTATGCTAAGGACTTTTGATTGTGTACTGCATCGGTTTAGTCACATCATCCATCGTACATTAGGCCAAAAGCCTACAAAATAAACTTAAAACAACAGAAATCTCGCAAAAAAAACAACCCAACATATTAATAGAAACAGTATGGCAAAATACTAACAAAGTCGTATACGAAGGATAGATTAAGAACCATAGTAATTAATATAAATCATTTGGAATGTGGCGTGTGGGAAAGTTTTCCTCTGGCGAAAGTATTTTTTCAAAACAAAAGGTCATATATAAAAATACGTGCTGATTTGGAACAGGCCATTCTTCTGCCATGTTGTACATATTTCTTAATTTAGCGATGGACCTGTTCGCAGTAATATATTGGTAAGCTAAGTTGTGTAAGCTGCGATCCTACTGCAAAGAAGCTGTCCAGCTCTTGATTGAAGATATTCCAAAGACAAACCGGGATCGGACAAGGGTTTAAATCTGC